ACGTATAAGCGCTAATAATAAATTAATTTATTAATAATTACGTGAACATATATATTTATTATAAATTTAAGAAAATCGTAGTAGTTAATACTCTAGCCAACCCATATCAATATATATTTTCTAAATCTAGTTAATACTAACACTACCAGAAGAATACGAATATACTAATGCCTTGTCTACTAAAAGATATATAATTTTTTAAGATGTTTTTGTAGGCAATTTATCTTAATTTGCTGGATTTGTAATGGATCAAAATTGTCAAAAACTCGACAAGTTACAAGCGCAATCAATTTACAATATTATAACTAACTACAAGTGCGATCAATTAATTATGTTATAGTTAGTCATAAGTGTAATTAAGTAATTATGTTATAGTTAGTCACAAGTGCAATCAATTAAATTATAGTTAATTATATTACAGTTTGGCATCACATACAATACCCGGGTATTATTCAATAATTAAGTAATATTGATTGTAAATAATACCTGGTCCTTAATCATTGGGGATATTTTGAGGTACTATGTACAGTGCTAAATGATTAAACGATAAATCTAATGTAAAGTCAAATATACGTAATTAAATTACATATTATATTTGATTAATATATATTTTTATTGAGTGTTAATAAGAATATATATATCAAATGTAATTTAATTGCATATGTGGCCGAATTGAATAGCTTTGTAATAATTGAGTGGTTATTAGAGCCCATTCTATCACTGTAATATGTATTATCTAATGTTAAAATTAAACTATTCAATGAATCTAATTCAAATAACTTATATTTATTTAATAAAAATATATATCAAATATATATTGATTTGATAAACATATATTGAATATTATTAATAAATTTACCTATATAAGTAAAGTTTAATCATCATTATCCCTTATCAATTTAGCTTCGAATATACTATGATATATACTACAATCCAACATAATTTGATAGCTTAATCACAGATCAATCATGAATTTCCATGGAAAATAACTAAGGGATAAGTGTTGGCATATTTACGTCATTTAGTTACAACATATTGTTAAGTCATACCAGCACGTCATTACAATATAATGTAACTAATTGAACGTAAATATGCCTGGATCTATATTCTAGGCAAATTTGCCTAGAAATTTTATGTTTGATCTGTAATTAAGTTATCAAATTATATTAAATTGTAGTCTAAATCTTAGTAGATACGTAGTTAAATTGACAGTTTAAAGATAGTATTTAAGAGGCTAATCATTTTACAAAGCCAATATAAAGAACATTAAATATACCTATTAAATCTTCATTCTAGTTTTTAGAATTTCAAATGTCTTTATCAAAATTCAAGATTTCTGATGAAATTAAAAAAAGAGGAAGTTACAAGTCACGGATAAAAGCAAAGCTAAACACGCATCTTCTTTTAATGGAAGATAATAAAATTAAGCTTAAGGATTTGCTTAATAATGGTGCACCTGAAATAGTTGAAAAGGAATAGGATTTATCTGACAAAGATCAAGTTGTAAATCATGATCAATTGCTTAAAGAAAATAATCTTAATCTTGATCCTGATGATGTGTGATATAAATGGTCAATTCGATATTTAAGTAAAACATTAGTTGTCAAACAGTGCATAAGTGGAAGTTATCATGAAAAAGAGGTTGCATCTGGTTCTCATATTTTAGCAGCTTGTTATCCCTATGTAGGGTGTCTTGCGTTTGTTACAATTTTCCTTCGTAATAATGAAATTTGTGGCATTGCGGGATACCTAAAACATTCTGAGCAATGTGTAATTTCCCAACCGCAGCGTGATTCACCATATAGACTCTTACCATATATGAAAAAAAGCATTGAAAACTTACTAGGTCTTAATGTAAGAACTTCAGACATCCTTGCTCAAAATGCCAGAATCATAAAAAATGTGTTTAGAAATCATACTTTAATCGGGAATTTCTGAATGCTGCTTACAGCAATGGATATTACAAATATTAAGAAGCAAATACTACGGACAAGCTGGAATATAAATATCAAACATGATGTAGCAAAGAACTTGGATTAGTTGCTTGGACCAGATGCTGATCAATCTGAGCTCAAAGATGCGTATGTAATAAATTTCAAAGCCAAACTTGATTTTTTTTGGTAACCCTCTATAATTATTAATTATATATATATATTTTTTTTTCTTTTTTTTTTTTTACTATTTATTAA